GAGCCTGTACTTGTGCTTAGGAGTGAGGGCAGGCAAAGCTTCAGGCAGTGAATTCAGGCAGGAAAGCTGGTGAGCTGAGACTGGCCTTCCCTGGCAGTGCAGGAAGCACTTTGCCCAGCCAGCTCCTGCTTCCACGCTATCCCTGTGCAGAATCTCTCCGGCGAAGGAAGGATTTCTGCCTCTAGCTCTGGTTTGCGCAGACGTGCCCATAGGCAGCAGGACACCCAGGAATTTGTCCCTCTGCCTTCATCCCACGCAGGTGGACGTGAAGAAGACTGCCCTGGCACTGTCGATCACAGATTCTGAGCTCTCTGATGAGGAGGCTTCCATCCTGGAGAGTGGGGGCTTTTCTGTCTCGAGGGCTACCACCCCACAGCTGACGGACGTTTCCGAAGGTACGTGATGGGACACTTGGTTGCCTTCCTGACCCTGAGTGTTTTGTCCCAGGAAAACTGCCCCTGCAAACACCGGGAGCACCCAGATATTTGCAAGGGGAAGAGGATTAAGAGGAAGAGGCAGTAGTAGCAGCGCTGCACGCTCTGCCTTCGTGGCTGGTCCTCAGTGGACATTTGGCCCTGATTACTGCCCAGACAGTGTCCTTTTGTCACTCCAGCAGGGGAGCAAGGCCATCCACAAATTCCTGCAGAAGTGATTGCCTGGTGTAGTCACAGGCCCATGTATGATGCTGGGTGAAACAGGTCGGACACCGCACCCTGTCAGACTTCCAGGCTCTGAGAGAGACTGGTTAGTGGTGAGGATAACCACTTGGATGTGGTCGCTTGAGTGTCTGGGGAGGAACAGGCAGGAGATGGGTTGTAAGCACAATTATTCCCTGGCCCTGGAGCGTTTAGGGGAGGACTCTGGATGCAGAGGGAGTGAGGTGGAGAAGGAAGTCATCTCTGAGCACAGAGGGCAGCATGAGAAAAGGGATGCTCCACATGAGTCGTGCCACTGGGACCACTGGGAGAAGGGAGTGACCGCAGCCCTCTTCCTGCTGTGTTCCCACAGCTGGGAGGATGCCCAAAAGTGAGCCCTGGTGTGTCAGCTCAGGGAGAGTGGGTGGGAGGTGTCGGTGATGGGCGAGGTGACAGGACCCATGCCTTAACGCTGGTGCCTTTCAGACCTGGATCAGCAGAGCCTGCACAGCGAGCCGGAGGAGTCTTTTTCCAAGGACCTGGCAGAGTTTCCCTCCGTGGAAGAATACCATTCCAGAGACCTGGGACCACAGAGCGATGAAGATGCGTTTGGTGTGCCTCTGGGTCCCGAGCTTGCCCACGCCGCCCGTGAGCTGGACTCGGCAGAGAAGGAGGCTGCGGACTCCGACCTCTCCGTCCTTCGCCTAGCGTCTCCTCTCCATTTTGTAAATACGCACTTCAACGGGAGCGGGCAAGCGGCCGGAGGCAGCGCAGAGCCAGAGACTGTCCCTGCCCCGGGCCTGGGCATCTGCATTGACACGCTGAGCGAGGAGATCGTCACCACCGCCATTACCACGGCGGTGCAGAACACCCTCTCCGCCCTGCTGCGCTCCTCGGAGGCCAGCGAGGGGCCTTCCCTCTCCGAGTTCCTGCCCACTGAGCCCGAAGAGAAACTGAGCTTCCAAGCACAGCTGTCAGAGACCGAAGCGGTGGAGACAGAGGCAGCAGCTTCACCCGACGATGAGGAGGAAGCTGATGACTTTGAGCTGCTGGATCAGGGGGAGCTGGAGCAAATGGATGTAGAGCTGGGTCTCGGAGAGGAGGAGGAGGAGGAGGCGGCGGCGCAAGAGTCTCCCGCCGCTCCAGTTCCCCTCTGTCCCACGCTTGCTGAGCTGCCAAAGCAAGGAGAGGAGGAGGGGGAGGCAGCGATGACAGCACCGTCTACGTCTTAGGGCTTCTCCACGCGCCCCCTTTTCCTCCATCGTCACTGGAAAGAAGGAAGGGCTCGGGCGGTGAACGCGCAGCGGGTTTTTAGATGTCTTGTGTTGACTGGGATGGAAACGCGTCAGTGTTCATGTGCTGTGTCTGGAATAAGGAATCCTTCCCATCCTTCTAGAGCCCGGCCTTTGAGCAGGAGACACCCTCGCCCCCGGG